ACCTGCCTGGCTCTCCAGGAAGTCTTCCACCCCCCCTACCACACCCCGCAGTGGTGCCCTCAGCTGACTGCTCGTGTTTCTCTGACTTGGATCTGTTTCCAGGTGTGCTCAGGTTTTGCTTCAGAGAGGAAGCCGTGTCACCTGTTGAGCCCCATCCCTCCCGAGCACCTGCTTATGGCACTGCTCCACAGATACAGACGTACTGCTGACAGACAGAGGTGGACGCTGGGGCTTAGGAAGGGACTCACCGGCTCAGTGAGACTGCTCTCCTTCTCCAGGAACTGTACCACACAGTATGCCAGCTGCAAAAGGTGGAGGCAGGAAGGAGGTGAGGTGCAGGGCCCAGCTCTCACGGACATCAGTGACAGAAACAAGACCCCCAATGGGAGAGGAGGCGTAGACTGGAATTATCCCACCCACTCCCTCTGCCTCCCCATCCAGCTGGAATACCTCCCCTCCCCGTCTTCCTTGCTGCCAGGCTCAGTCAGGGATCGTCAAGAGGAAGCGGCTTACCTGAGGGTGGTAGACGCTCAGGGACTTGACCTTGTGAAGGGGAAGCAGGACACGGATAAGGAACATCTTGTGCTCTTCCTTGAGGGGCAGGGCGAAGCCGTTGATGATGCTAGGGTTGAGGGAGGTTTGTTAGGACCAGGGAGCCTGGTCCAAGCTCAGGGAACCAACCCTCCCAGCTTTCCTCAGGCGGGTGTGGCCCAGCCCGCCCCCACCTGCCCAGGATCTCCAGGAGCTCGGCGATCCCGTTGTGATGCTCCGTCTCATAGATGAACCTGAGGGAAGAATAAAGGGCCTCCTGACAACCTGATGTCCCCCTGAAGCCCCCCCACCTCCCTTCCCCCCCACCTTAGCGGTACCGCTTTGCTCCTGAGCCTGGCTCCGGGCCTCACCTGTAGAAGATGTGGTTGATCTGCCTACGGATATAAGCCCGGAGCCCCAGAAACTTGCCATAGATTCGATGCAAGATGGTCTTGAGGAAGTCCCGCTCTCGAGGGTCCTCACTGTCAAACAGGTCCAGGAGCTGGGAGCGGGCAGGAAGAAAGGTGGCAATGAGGCGGGAGCTGAGGCAGGCAGGGTGGGTGACAGGTCCTCCCGCTCCTGGGCTGGCGAACCTAGAGGGGCCGCTGGGAGCAGCTCAGGTTCTCTGGAGAGGGGTGGGCGGACAAGGCCCTGGAAAGAGGGATTCTATCACACTGCTCTTAAAGGTGCCATTGAGTATGCATGCTGCATACTTCGTTGCTTCTTTTGTTTGTTTCCATTACGCTGGAAGCTTCCTGCGGGCAGCATGGGTTTGTTTAACCCTCAGAACGTCCTGTGCGGATACAGCTGAAACCCAATGTACTCTTAGGAGGAGAAAGAACGGGGACCCGAGGAAGGGATGGGGGGCCAGAGTCCACACACTGGAAGGAGGGGAAGGACAGGAAGAAGGGGACTCACAGCAAGGACAAACTTCTGGTCAATGTACTTCTTGGCTATGTTTGGCTGGAAATCAGGAGACTCCAGGAAACGCAGGAAGAACTCGTACACCAGCTGCGGAGGGAAAGGAGCATCCCGTAAGGGGGTATCCCCAGGGGCCGGGAGAGCCCGGCCACAGGCCTGCGCGTCCCGGGCCTGGTACCTGGAGGTGCGGCCAGGCGGCTTCCAGGGTGGGCTCGTCCTCCTCCGGGTCGAACTCGGCCCCGGTGGGATTTGACGAGGGTGGCAGTGTCCGGAAGAGGTTCACTGAAAACTGAGGGGTGGCGCCCAGGTGAGAGCTCTGTCTGGCTTCTCCGGGCGCCCAGCCCGCCCACTCCCCCTCTCCCTGCGCCCACCATGGTGACAGCCTCCGGGTAGATGGCCTCGGTGACGACATCGCGGCTGTGGGTGATGTACTCCACCATTTCGTTGAGTCCTGCCCGCTTCACCTCCTTGAACTTGAGGTCGCTGAGTGGGTCTGACACAAAGTCAAAGAGGACGCAGCACTGGCGTAGCTTCTGGATGAACAGCTCCTCCCGCTCCTGGGTTGGCGAATCTAGAGAGGCCGGCAGTCAGGTTCCTCCCCGTCGTTCACGGCCGTGCCCTATGGCCTCACGGGGCTTTCCCCGACCCTGTCCCACTCCCCTGGCACCCTCCGGCCCCAATGGAACTCTTATCTCTCCCCCCCCCCCTCACCTCCCAAATGACCAAAACCACCCCGTGCCCCCAAGCCTGGGCACCAGCCCTGGGACCTCCTCCAAGTACCTTTCAGGGCAGGAAGCTTCTGCAGCTCCCGGTTCTTGCTGAGATTGAAGCGGGAGGAGCTCTGCCGCCGCTCCTTCTTGACGATCTGCGGGCCCCCTGAGTACTTGATTTTGCTGAGCTGCGTGGGGGGCGGCGTGCTGTTGCTGGGGCGCTTGTTGGATGCCGGCGGCTGAGACTGCGGCTGCGGCTGTGGCTGGGGCTGGGGCTGGGGTTGCGGCTGGGCCTGGTCAAACAAGTGAATGTGGAAGTCCCTTCCCCAAGCTCCCCGATGTCTCCCACGGTGAACCTGAGCGTGCGTGCTTGAATACGACAGGTGGTGGGTAACCTGGCCGCCCAGGCCCGGGCCCGGGCCAGCCGCCATCCCCAGCCGGTTTATGTCCCCTGCCCTGAAGGAGCCAGGGCCAGGGTCAGAGACGCCTATGGTTATGGGTTACCCCCGGGAGTGACCACAGAGTGAAGTCTCACAAAGTGATGCTCAGAGCCTTCAACACGTTCACTCCAGTTCACGGGTTACAGTGGGGGCGAACAGAGAAACTAAGTCATGGGTTGATGGCAACAGAAGTCAGAAAAGAAGCTATCTTTCCAGGGCCTGGCTGGAGGGGGTGAGGGGTGGTGTGTGAGCCCTGACTGAGAAAGGGCAGGAGGAACCTTCTGCCTAATGGAAACATTTTTTATCTGTGTGTGTGTGTGTGTGTGTGTGTGTGTGTGTGTTTCAGAGAGGAAGGGAGAGGGAGAGAGAGATAGAAACATCAATGATGAAAATCATTGATCGGCTGTCTCCTGCACGCCCCGCCCCCGGGGACCGAGCCCGCAGCCCGGAAAGCGCTCCTGATGGAATCAAACTCGGGCCCTTCAGTGCAGAGGCCGACGCTCTGTCCACTGAGCCAGGTCGGCTGGGGTGAAACATTTTATATCTCGACTGTATCTGGGAGGTAGTTCATAGCATATATACATGTAAAAACTAATTGAGCAGACACCTAATATTACTGTACTCTATGACTTTACTGAATGTATGACATTCTTCCATTAAAAGTTAAAAGAAATTCATTCCCAGGTCTCAGTTTAAGTACTAGAAATATAGCTTAAGAAAAATCCTAAATATAAAAAAAGTCTTTGGCCCTGGCTGGTGCAGCTCAGTTGGTTGGGTATATCCTATGTACCAAAGGTTGCTGTTCAATTCCCAGTCAGGACTTAAGCCCAGGCTATGGGCTTGATCCCCAGTGAAGGGTGTGTAGAAGGCAGCCAATTGATGTTTATCTCTCCCACATTGATGCTTCTCTCTCTCTCTCCCTCTCCCTTCCTCTCGCTCTAAAAACACACAAAATTTTCAATTTAAAAAAGAGGCTTTGGCCTTTTTATACTTTTTACAGCCTTATTTATAATAGCAAACAAATAAATGGGCTGTCATGGAGTTAAAATCATGTTTATAAACTATGTACTAAATGTAATCATCCGTGGGTCAGCTGTAAAAAATATTTACTCAATGACAATTATTTACCCAAAATTGGTGATGAGAAGTTTGAGAAGAGGGGAGATGTCTGTGCAGAGGTATAAGACACTGAGGTTTCATTTTCCACAGTACAGTCAATACATAATATCAAAATCTAAAAATTTTCTTTTAAAAAGCAGTGACAGAATCTTATTTGGAAATACAGAAGTCACTCCCCACGGACAGTTAGGAGTTGAAAGTGGCTGCCACGGAGCAGCGGGAGAGGAGCCTGGGAGGCCTGCCCTGACATTGCAGCCCACGCACTGTCTGACTTTCTGAACAAGGTACATGTTCCTGCTGATCACGGTGATGAAAACGTAAGATAAAACGAAAAACTAAAACTACATGATGACAGAAAACTGCTTGCTATGCTAAGCAAAAGAAGGGCAGTACAAAACTGTGTACATTGAGCTCCCCGACAAAGCGGCACACGGAGCCCAAGTCAGTGAGAGCGAAAGGACGGGGGAGCCACCGCCGTGGCCAGGCCTGTCTCCTGCGGGAGCAGAGTGACAGGTGACTTCTCTACATTTCGTGAGGACAGCTGCCTTTTACAAACTATGTCCTCACTTCCGCCTGGACAAGGGTGTCAGGGCCTCACAAAGCCATTCTCTTTTTTAAATATATTTGTATGGATTTCAGAGAGGAAGGGAAATGGAAAGAGAGACAGAGACGTCAGTGATGAGAATCACTGATAGGCTGCCTCCTGCATGTCCCGCACTGGGGATCCAGCCTGTCACCTGGGCACGTACCTGACCAGGAATTGAACCATGGCCTCCTGGTTCATAAGTTGATGCTCTACCACTGAGCCACAGCGGCCGGGAAGCCCATTTTCTTTTTTAAAACAAACATGTTTTTATCGATTTCAGAGAGGAAGAGGGAAAGGGGGGGAGAGAGAAACATCACTGATAAGAGAAAGTCATTGATAGGCTGCCTCCTGCATGCCCCCTAATGGGGATTCAGCCCACAGCCTGGGCATATACCCTGAATGGGAACTGACCTCCTGGTTCACGGGTTGATGCTTTAAACTAGGGGTGTCGAACTCAATCAGAGAAGGGGCCAAAATCTAAAATCCAGCCTAAATCGCGGGCCGAATGGTTTACTGAATAGTCATAAACTGTCATTGTGATGGAAACGCAGCGGAGTGCAGTGATGACAGCGCGGTGCGGGCCACATTGCAAGGCCTGGCGGGACGGATTTGGCCCACGGGCCTTGTGTTTGACACATGTGCTTTAAACACTGAGCAACACTGGCCGGGCCTTTTTTTTTTTTTTTTTTTTTTTTTAATATGGAGCGCTTCATGAATTTACATGTCATCCTTGCACAGGGTCATGCTAATCTTCTCTGTATCGTTCCAATTTTAGTACATGTGCTGCCGCAGTGACACGAAGCCCATCTTCAGCCTACACAGACATTTGCAGGGCTGTCCACCCACCGGTACCGTCCAGGTCCCCCCTGCTGGGAGAGGAGAGAGGCTGACCAGAGGGGTACCCCAACCACAGGGAAGTTGTCCCCCTGTCCTCATACCTGCCATCCCCACCTCCTCGCCAGCCTCCTCCACAAACTCTTACTTCATACAATAAGAATTCGAAAATCTGAAAGCATCTGAGGGAGGGGGAAGGGAGGAAGACAGAAATGTTATGCTTTGTAAGCTCTGAATTTGAAAAAAAAATTACTGATTTTGAGAGAGAGAAAGAAATATCGATTTGTTGTTCCACTTATTTTTGCATCATCCAGTGATGAATTCTTGAATGCGCCCTGATTCAGGGACTCGAGCCCACAACCATAGCTGGGACAATGGTCTAACTAACCAACCAAGCTACCCGGCCAGGGCATAGGCTCTGAATTTTTTATAGAAACTACTATGTCGAGCTTGTGACCTCTGCGGGGATCAGAGAACAAAGGGGACAGGGTCCAGCCCAGGGGAGCCCCTGGGTCCAGTGTAGCTTTGCCCTCTGGCCCTCTCCTTTGCCTGAATCGACAGCCCGACACCAACTGGATGAGGGACCGTAAGAAGGTGGGGCAGAAGCAGCCATCACACACTTCTCCTGCCAGGACCAGCAGACTGGGGCCTGCCTGCCTGGGTCTGACTCCTGACTCTGCCATTAATCAGCTAAAAGTCATACAGTCTCTTGGTGCCTCAGTTTCCTCATCTGTGAAATGGGGATGATAATAGTACCTATTTTTTAAAATCTTATTTCTTGATTTTAGAGAGAGAAAGGAAGGGAGAGAGGGAGGAAGAAGGGAAGGAGGGAGAGGAAGAAAAACATAGAGGGAAGAAGAGAAACGCTGATTGTGGAGATCGAACCAGCAACCTTGGGGACGATGCTCTAACCAACTGAGCTACTAGGCCAGGCCAATAGAAATTATTACTATTTCCCACCCTGCAGATTTTAGGAATGCAGCCTGGAAATTCCCGAAACTAGCACACTTCAATGTTCCTCAGAGTCTACTATCCTCCTTATTTTAAAATGGGGCACCCTAACCGGTGTGGCTCAGTGGACAGAGAGTTGGCCTGTGGACTGAAGGGTCCCAGGTTCGATTCTGGTCAAGGGCATGTACCTTGGTTGTGAGCACATTCCCAGTAGGGGGTGTGCAAGAGGCAGCTGATCAATGTTTCTCTCTCATTGTTATTTCTTCTCTATCCCTCTCCCTTCCTTTCTGTAAAAAATCAATAAAATATATTAAAAAATAAAATGGGGCATTGCATCTTTCAAGACCCAGCTAAGTCCCACCTTTTTCCAAAAAGCCTTCTCATTCCAGGCCTTGGGCATCCATATCCTTTCCCCAACTGGATCTGATATCATCCCTAGTGACACCTCTTACTTAGTCTGTTCAAGTGTCATTCCCCTACGGGACAGCAAGTCCGGATGGGGCCACAGGGATCAGGCCTAAACCGGCAGTCAGCCATCCCTCTCGAAACCTCTGCACCGCTCTGGGTCCCCTCAGCACTGGCAGCGAACAGGCAGTTAGCAAATGTTTGGTTGGCTGACTGACTGGGGGCCAAACTCAGGCCCCTCCCCACAGGGCTTTCCTGTCCCGACTGCACCCTCAGAACAGAGCCCTGGACGGTGGCAGAGCAGAGTGGGAGGGAGAAACGGTGGTGACATGAGGGTGAGGGCCTTTGTGGCAGCTAGAAAACAAAACTCGGGAAAAAAGGTCTCTCTCCATCCTCCGAGACCAGATGCAGACACCCTGCATCTCTCATACCAAGGGGACATCCGGGGAATGGAGGCATTCCTTCTTGTGAGGAGGGTGGGACTAGATCAGTGTTTTCCCAACTATTCTCCATGTAGGTGTCAAGAGAAGAGAGGGCTGCATGGCGAAAAACCAAAGTTTAACAACAATCCCGGTTCTGTAAGGCCGCCGGCTCCCAGGCCTCAGACATAAGCAGCGTCTGAGAGACAGCTGGCCCAGCCAGCAAAGCCCCGGCTGCCAAGCCTGGATGAGGCGTCTCCGGGCCTATGCCTGCCAGAGGGAGGTATGGGATATGCCAGCAACACCCTTCACGTGCAGCACTTTCTGCTGAAAGCGCCAGCGTCTGACTTCCCCACCGACCTGGGCTGGAAGTGGGAGGCAGGGGAGCCTGGGAGCACCTTCTGCAGCTATCAGAGCATCACTGGGCGCCGACCTGCTCTGCACCCCTCCTGTGTCCTACCCGTTCCCACCGCCGAGCCTCTGCAGCGGCCGTCTCCTCTCCCTGCAGCACCTTCTCCTCCTACTCTGAACTCCCAACAGGATCCAAACTCCAGGAAGCTCTCCTAGGTTCAGGCCTCCGGCAATCGAGTGGTGCTTTGGTTTACACACCCCTCTCTCCTACTCGGTATATATTGCAACTGTATTTGTTCATTCTGAACCACTGCAGGTCCAACCGAATCCTAACACAGCCACCGTTAATAATTCAACCCACGCACTCAAACATAAATAAAGTAGGGGATAGAAATATTTAACATTATAGAATGTATTGTTAACAGAATGATGAAACATAAACCGTGAAAAATGCAAAAACTAGTCCTAACTGGTTTGGCTCAGTGGATAGAACGTTGGCCTACGGACAATGAAAGGTCCCGGTTTGATTCCAGTCAAGGGCATGTACCTTGGTTAGAGGCACATCCACAGTAGGGGGTGTGCAGGAGGTGGCTGATCAATGTTTCTCTCTCATCAATGTTTCCAACTCACTATCCCTTTCCCTTCCTCTCTGTAAAAAAATCAATAATATATATATATTTTTTTAATGCAAAAACTAATGTTATATCTTTTATATAATGAACTAGTAGCCTGATGCACAAAATTCCTGCGTGGGGGGGGGGGGGTGTCCCTCAGCCTGGCCTGCACCCTCTCCATCTGGACCCCTCGGGGGATGTCCGACTGCCAGTTTAGACCCGATCCCTGTGGATGGGGCCACAGGGATCAGGCCTAAACCGGCAGTCAGACATCCCTCTCGAAATCCAGGACCACTGGCTCCTAACTGCTCACCTGCCTGCCTGCCTGATTGCCACTAACCACTCTGCCTGCCAGCCTGATCAACCCCAACTGTCTCCCCTCCCCCTTCAGCCTGATCACCCCTAGCTGTCCACCCCTGCTGGCCTGATTGTCCCCAACTATCCTCCTTTCTCCCACTGGCCTGCTCGCCCCCAACTTCCCTCCCCTGCTGCCCAGATCGCCTCTAACCGCCTCTGCCCCTGCCTCTGCCCCACCACCATGGCTTTGTCCGGAAGGAAGTCAGAGGGTCTCCTGGAAGGTCTCCCAGTCTAATTAGCATATTAGTATAGATTACTAGCCAAATAAACATCCTTTTGGTTTAAAACCCTGAAAATCAGAGAAGCTTTCTCTCCTATCCTGACATCTAGAGCTCTATTTAGCTGTGCTTAATTCTTTCCTTCCTTCATTTATTCAAAAAACATCATTAGAGATTAAAAGGTAAGACATGGCCCTTGGCCTCAAAGAGCTCACAGTCCAGTGGGTGAGACAGACAGAAAGCAGCTATTAGTGCAAGGGAAACGCAACAAAGAACGTGGGAACCCAGAGGGCTGAGCTACAAACTCTGCCTGAAGGTTTAGGGGAAACGCCCCTGAAGAGGTGACTTTTAATTTGACTCTTAAAGGACAAACATGAGTTTAAGCAAAGGAAGAAAGGAGAGAAATAAGACAGTCCAGGTCTACAGAGTCACATCAATAAGGGCTGAGTCATAAAGGGGCTAATGGTGACCAGAAACCAGGATGGGAGCTGAAAGAAGGGGTGCAGCCAGCTGACAATGCAAGTTTGAATTTGTGAACAATGAGGTGGGGACAGAGGTTTTTTTTAATCTTCACCCAAGGACATGTTTATTGATTTTTAGGGAGATGAAGGGAAAAGGAGAGAGAAAAATAATGTGGGAGAGAAACATTGATCGGCTGCCTCCTGCATGCACCCTGACCAGGGATCACACCGGAAACCAGACTGTGAAGCGAACCCTCACCTTTTGGTGTACAGAACGATGCTCCAACCAACAGCCAATGGCCAGGGCTCCCACACAGGCTTTTAAGTAGAGCACCGATAAGACCAAAAATGTTTTTAGGATAACAACTCTGGACACAAGCTGAAGTGGGAAAGAACAGGATAATTTTTCCTCCCTCTATCCTCACTCCCAGAACTCAGGACTCCACAGCACTGAACTGCTTTCCCCAAAGACAGTCCAAGCACGAACCCCTGCCTGCAGCAGCAGGTCAGAGGAAGTCTGTCCTAATCTCTTGAGAGCCGGTGTATCATGTCACCAAGAATACAGGGGAACTGGCCCTGGCTGGTACGCGCAATGGTTAGAGCATCGGCCTGCACACCAAAGGGTCTTAGACTCAATTCATGGTCAAGGGCGCATACTTGGCCCTGGTCGGGGTGCATGTGGGAGCCAACGAAGTGATGTGTCTCTCTCAAATCGATGTTTCTCTCCCTGCCTTCCACTCTCTCTAAAACAAACAAACAAACAAACAAACAAACAAAAAAACAGGGGAACTGGCTCGCAAGCCACATGGACCTAGGTTGAATTCGCTGTTTCACTGCCAAGTAAAAGCTAGTTAGCACTGTTAAACCTCAGTTTCATCTGTAAAACGGGGACAATGATAATGGAATGACCTCACAGAAGTGTCGTGAAGATTAAATGAGAAGGTTATAAATTAAATGCATGCGCCCTGACCGGTTTGGCTCAGTGGCTAGAGCATCGGACTGCGGACTGAGAGGTCCCAGATTCGATTCCAGTCAAGGGCATGTACCTTGGTTGCAGGCACATCCCCAGTGGAGGGTGTGCAGAGGCAGGTGACCGATGTTTCTCTCTCATTGATGTTTCTAACTCTATCCCTCTCCTCCCTTCCTCTCTGTAAAACAAAAAAAAAATCAATAAAATATATTTTTTTA